CCCGTTGGAGGATGGGAATGGAACAAGGGTGCCTGGGAGGGTCGCCCCCTTCTTGAGCCTCTGTAGTACCCGGGTGATTAGTCATTGGGGGATCACCCCAATGGATACATTGTAACAAAAGTTTACCAAAAAAAAAATAAAAGGAGAGTTTTAATTTTTGTTTAACAGTATGAATTTACTGAAATACCCTTCTGCACTTAAGGGAGGGGGGAGAAAAGAAAAACAAAACAAAACAAAAATCTCCTTTCTCAGCTTTCCTCTTTTTCCCTGCTCTATGCCATCATTGTGGTTCTTCAGTCATCACTGCTCTCCGCTCATCTACGGTGGCTTTCTTCTCGTGTATAAGCGGCTTGAATCTTTCATCGCCATTGCTGTACTAGTTTCATTTTTCTTGATTCTTCATTGTTGAACCCATCTCTGTCTCTCTCTGCTTCGCGACTGTGTGTGGGTGTGTGAACTTTGTCCTCCTCTTCTACGTCATTTACATATGTGTGTTATGCTCAAATCCTCTCTCTGTTCTTTTTATCGTTGTTACTAATTAATAGAAAAGGGAATGAGTTAGAATGTTGACTGATTGGATTTATTAAATTCGGAGGTTTATAGAAAAGGGAAGGATCTGAAGATCATATTTATCGAGCAATCGACTGTGTGTGGCAGTGTAATGTTGATTGTAGTTATAAATTGGGAGGCTGTCTTAAGTCAATTTTGCTTATGCTTGAGTAAACCTTACGAAATTACTGGGATACTTGAACCTGTGTGGTTGTAATTGATGAGCTATGATGTTGCTTTATTGTTTTAATTTGAACGCACACAAGGTGTTTGTGAATATGTGTAGGAGAAGAATTTGATTGGAATAAGGACCTAAGTGCTCTTAATGTGTTAATAATTGTTGAAATTGAAGAGCATAGTTGTGAATTCTTTATGTTGAATATAGAAAGCTATGAATATGGTTCGAACTTATATACGCACACATATATATGTCTTTTATATGTATCAAGTTGGTACGAATTTAGAATGGCGGAATGCTAAAATAAATAATTGTGTTCTTTCCTACTTGGAGTTTAGGGGACTAAGAAAATAAGAGACTTATTAGGATGAATTATTAGTAAAAGCTGCATTGAGTGAATTGTTATGAAAATCCTTGCATAAGTTCTTATTTGAGTGTAACGTTCTGATTTTGGGACGCTGGGGAAAATGAGGAGCAAATTTAAACCAGAACTGTATGAACTGAAATAAGTTATATGTTGGGAGCACAGTAAGAGAGTGAATAGCATCCCATGATATTTTTTTTAATAAATGATATATTTTTCAATGTATCATATTTTAATTTATATTATCAATTTTAAGTAATATTTGTTGAAAGCGAGTTTGTTGGAATGATATCACTTGTTTGTTGAGATTTGAATGTTCAAATGAAATAATCCTTTTATTTATGGTCAGTTACTTGATTATTCTATATCATGTCATTCTTTACAAGTCTTTATGCATAAAGATTTAAGAGAAATCTTCTGAGATGATTTTTGTATAATGTTTTTTTTTTTATGTGAGCTATTGTTGATATAAAAGGATTTTGTTGACTGATGGAATTTGAAAGAAACCATTTGAGATTTTGTAAAACTTCATGTTAGGGTCTTTATTATAAACTTTTGTTGTTAAAGGAATATGTTTTCTATTGCAAGTGGCTAATCGTCCCCATGCATGCTTGAAACGTTTTGAGAGGACCAAATATAGAACCCTGGTTGCAAACAGTAATATTGTTAGCACTTGGTGCACCATATTTGATATCAAGCTTGCTTGTTATTTGTCTTCCGCGGCACTTGTTGTTCGTGGTTTTGATCATACTTGTTATTTGTAGTTTCGGCTGCACTTGGTATTCGTGGCTTTAGTCATGCTTGTTATTTGTGACTTCGATTGCATTGTACATGTGCATCATGGTTGACATTGAGCTCGTCTAATATTCGTGGTCGTGGGCATCATTCCCGTGCTTGTATTTGTTGCTTCGGCTGCTCTTAATGGTTGCTTGCCCTCGTAAACTGTGTGTCCACGCTTATTACTCATTCTGTTGAGGTACTCAACTGAGAAGGGTTTTTCACACTATTTCATGATTTGATTTTATAAGTTGTTTAAATATTTAGCTACTTTTGTATATCAAAAGGTTCTTTATATCATTTCTTGTATGTGTCAGTAGCTTGCTCAAAAATTTAAAATCAATGGTAAATCATTTTATAAAATTATATCTGTGTAATGTATTATATTATCATTTGTTTATCTTAATTTTATGGATGGGATGTTGTTTAGCAGAAGAACCATTTTTGGCCTCCGTTGACCCCGCATCTCCAATTGAATGATGAGGGGCTTCATTGCTAATCAAGCGTGGAAATCTATTTCCCTCCTAACAGTTTGGAATGCCAAGCAGCTTGGAGTTCTTTTCCGCTAGGCATTTGGCAACTTGAATGATTCCCGTGATGGTGGCGTATTGCCAAAATCATCAATAGTTTCTAGGAATTGTAGATTCTCTAACCCTATGTTTGATATGAGAGAATTGGAGGGAAGGAAAGGGGAGGAAAAATTTTGGCAAGCATGATTTAAAAAATTGGAGAAGTGGGGTTTTAAAATTTTGATAAAAAGAAGATGTAGGATAAAAGAGTAAGAAAATCTAATTAAAAACTTTCGACCCCACTTTTTCAATTCTTTAAATCAAGCTCATTTAAAAAAAAAAATTTTCTCTCCATTTCCCTCCTAACAGTTTCAGCAACTCCTCCATTATGTTGGCATGCCCAAACAAGGCAGCCACATGAAATGGTGTTTTCCCTGAAGCAGTAATCTTTGAGGTTAAGGCATTTGGCTCTTTCTCTAACAATGCTTTTGCACTTTCCCATTTGTTATCACGTATAGCTTTATACAGTGTACCTTCCTCTACAATCTCCCCCTAAGTGGGTGTCCTTCTTCCTCGGCTCTAACCGCCACTGCCCCCATTACTTCCTGTTCTAATAACTCCTCACCCCTAGTCTCTCTTTTTATCTCTTCCTTTATCTCTTCCAAATCCTCCCGGCCTCTTAATATTTCCCTTATTATTTGCATTTCCAAAGCTTCTCTCTCTTCCTTTGTCGTTGCAAGTGACCTCGCCATCTTCCTTGCTTATTTAAAAATTTGATCATCTGCAATATTTGTGGAGGGTCTAATGATATTAAAACAGGGGGAGAAAAACATAATGAGGGAAGGTCCTCATGTGCTCATGGCAATGGGGAAATGTAAATAATCCAAAATTTGATTTAGAGATGGCCTAGATTTAAAACTTTTAGCTTACGATTTTTTAAAGATGATCTTTTAAAAGAAGCATTAGCTACAAAATTATCTTTATTTTAAATTTTATATTTATTAAAATAAGAAGTTATTTAAAGCATAAGTAAAACTTGAATTGAATCTTGACCATTCAAAATTAATCTAAATGGTTTAGATTAGATGAGCATTCATGGAATGCGCTCCTGGAAAGAAATAGTGGTGAAGCCTCTTGTTAGATTCATCCTAAAAATATAATAAGATCATAATTATTTATTATCCTATTTCACCATTTTATTACATACAGAGATTATAGTGACCTCACCTGACCACTTTGTCTGCATCGGCATCTTAACAGGAGCGAATAATAAAGTCATTTTGGCTGTTGGCTGTGATCTGCCCAATCCCTATATTAGCCAAAAAGGCCGAGAAAGGCAAACAAACATCACTACATACCCACCAAAAAATGCTACTACATATATATTGCATTAATTAAAATATAAATAAGAATCAAATGCACTTACCAACCTTTGGTCTGCTTCAGTGATCAGTCTTCAAAAAACCTATACATACACACACCACACACACACACACACACACACACACACACACACACACAGAGCTTGATTTAGTTTCCATGGAATCATCCCAAGCCCCTTTTTCTTTTATAACAACTTATACGTTGTGCTTGCGTCTGCTTTCTTTTGTTTGCTCCAGTGGTTTCCCTAGTATGCATTTTAAAAACAAAAATAATTTTTTTTTAATATTAACACGTTGAATGAGATGTACACTGACATGCGAAAAAGTCTGTGTCACCTATAAAATTCGGGAAACGTTATCCTTTCCTCCATCCATAAGCAACCGCTTTAGTGATGCAAATTTTTTAAGGGTCTTCGGAATCTTTGTCCACCATCATATGCTGTCCTCCAAACGCAAGTTGAAATGATCGTATTCCTTTCCATTTTCAATTTTTCATATAATTTAAATATAGCGTGACATTCCATTGCCTCCTGATGCATGCAGCCCGCGAAATGGAGTCTTAGACGTATTTCTTACCATATTAATCGTACATTGATCTTGTATGAATTGTGCAATTCAAATAATAATGTCTAATTTGCCAAATCCTTAAGGATGTGGAGATTTGGTTGAATAACAAAGCTCAGATGCATCTCAATTATTTCCAACGAGAACAATGGTTCAAATGATAAATTAATTAATCTTGGGTAAAAGTGGATCCAACACCTTGATTTTATTTCCAAAATGCATCCTGATCTTATTTATAATGCATTCAACACCATTATTTTATTTTATTTTGTGGCGCATCTAACATTCTAATCTTATTTACAGTGCATCACGCACCCAAAAAATTAGAATGCTTGATGTAAATAAAACAAATAACATCAGGATGATGGATATACCATAAATAAAATCAGGGTGTTGGATACATCTGAGAAATAAGATTAGAATGTTGGATGCATGAATGTCTACCCTTAATTCTTTTGTCTTTGCCAATCTTTAATTTTTTTTCCCTCTTGCATCTGTCTTTAATATGTCTTTCTTTCTCAGCAATAAACAATTATTCAATGAATATTCTTGCTTAGCTTTTCTTTCTGGCGTCATGCCCACGAACAAACAACAACAACAAAAATTAATGAAAAATCCGCAAATCATAATCATTCAAATAACACAAGACTTGGGAAATCATCAATTACAACTGCTATTCATGGCCACGGCTTAACTTTCCTGTCGAAGATACTCCCATATGTCGCAAAAACAGAATGAAGAAGAAGAGGGAATTGTGAGAGCACGAAGAGGCATATGGGAACACTTGCAAGCATAATAACAGGGAGGAGACCCCACGAGTAGTTTGTATGCTTTAGTATGAGACGAATTGTGGAAAGAAAGGCTACTATCATGCCTACAATGGATATGAAAAGTGAGGAAAGACCCAAACTCAACTTTGTTGGTAAGGATTTAAGGAACTTTTGTTCAGAATAGTGAGAAGTAAGTATTGCTAGAAACATTAGAACCGAAGTTGAAGAAAAGAGGAGGGATAATATAGTTGAGAATATAAAAACCTTGAAAAATGACTGTTTGATGAGTAATGGGAACCCAAAAGTTTGATCATTTCCTCCCGGCACTGTAAAAGCTGCAGTAAACATAATAGTCACAATTAAGGCTCCAACAACAGAACAAGAAGATGCAGTGGCCTTTATCCAATTTTCTCCTTGAATCATTAACCCTTCATGTTTTTGTTTGAATAATTCTTCCGCCGTCATGCCATCACTGTTTCGTGCTTTCCTAATAGTAGTAGGTATTAGTTTCTCCACTTCCTGCATCCGTTCCAATAAACAATTAATTTCATTTGATTTTCTGCAAATCTAGATGCAAATGGACAGCAACTAGTTCAAAATATGATTGAAGTTCATCAAATGTCAATAACTTCTTTAATTAAATTAATAAAATCTAAGAGCAAAAGGACTCAGTCCAACTCTTACTTGTTTATATGATTATTGTAAAAGATAAAAACAGTTTCTTTTTTGCCCTAACCTTAAACCACTGCAGTTCTCTTTGCATCTGCAATGTTGGCCCGCGGATGCGGTCAAGAAGGGAAGCAGGAGCTTGGGTAGCTGCAGCATGTAGCAAGCTATTTCCATTTCTATCTCTGCTTGAAGCAAAAACGTCCTTGAAACGAAGCCCATGGATGAGGCTGAAAAACCTAGCTTGTCGATGCTCAATGGCATGGTAGAAAATGTTTCGATATGAGTTATCTCCAATGAGCAAAATTTCAGGATTTGCTTTTGATATCTGAACCACGAACTCAACATTCCCTTCTTTCGCTGCACGAAATAACGCATCTGCAACAGTGATCACTTCATCTCTTTTGCTTGCATTCTTACAAACTAGCCGAACAATTTCATTTGCTTGTGCATGCAGTAACTTGAGCTCTTTTAATTTCTTGATTCCTAGAATGATACGCAACACGACTTTTTTGTTAGCTGAGTTGATGAGAATCAATATCAGTATATATAAAATAATATACTCCCTCTTCTTTTCCTTTTTATAAACATCTGATAATAACTTCACAAAAATTAATGTAGTTCAAATTAGTTATCTCTCGTAAAATATCAATATTATCCTCAATAAAAATCATTAGTAGGAGGAGTTTGGTTTATTAATTAGGAAGTTTTATAACTATTTAGGCATAGTAGGGGGAAATTTAAAACTTTTTAAACAACACATACGTTTATGTTATACATGAAGTATGCTAGAGGTGCTTGTAACAAAAGGACCGGAGGGAGTATTGGTTAGAAGAGATATGCCTACCTACAAAATTATAGGCGGAGAAGATGAGCCGTCGAAGCAAACGAGGTCCTGCTGCAACTTAGAAAAAGGGAAGAAGGAAGAAACAAAAACTCAGCTTATAGAAAGGAAAAGGTTAAAACAATGTTTTGTTTCGTGTCTTTTTCTAAAAGAATATTTAATTAGAGATGAAGAAACCTTGAATTAAAAAAACAGACACATTATACTGTTCTACCTGCTGGCCCTATAAGCTTTCCTTGTGCCTTTTCCCTTGTGTCTTTATGATGGACAGGTAAAGAAGCACTTTGGAAACTTGGAGTTGAATTCGCATCTATATCTAGCACATCAGCAAACAAATAGAGAAAAGACTAAATGTCATTAAATATATATATATATATATATATATGGAATCAAACAAGAAAACAAAAATTGTATAGTTTATGAATCCTTTTGCCAATATTATTTTAGGTAAATTTATTAATTAGTCTATTGTTTAGTGGCAAAATTTTATCTTTTATTAGATTTTCATGGTATTCCCAGCAATTCTGTGGATATATATTTAGAATAATTGCGCCATATAATGCTGCTCCCTCGAATTGAAACAAAGGCAAAAATGTAAATCTAATAGTATAAGAAGAAACAAAGAAGATATTAATTAGAAAATATTTAAGTAGTGATGATACTGACAGTCATAGATCCATCGTTTCCAAAAGACAAGTTCGCTTGGGCTAGGCATTGTAGAATTCATAGTTGCGATTCCAAAAATTGGCTTCCAATCCTCGTTGTCCGACGCAAAAAGCAAATCTTGGCATTTACTAAGCAAGTGATGAGCAATATCTGTGTTTTCACACAATATAATGAATATTTGTCCATTACATTAAGATAATACTCTATGCGACTGAATAACTGAACAAAAAGTAAAAACAAAAACAAAATATAAACTTGACAGTGTACATAATTAAAAAGAGTATTCTACGAAAACAAACACATATTTATGACAAATAATTATTTTAACTAATTTTTTTAATATATGAAAATTAATTGTATAGCTCTTGTATTAAGAATTAGAGGGAGTATCATAAGACCATTTCATTGGTATAATATCATTTTAGTTTGATATTTCCTAATTAATTAAACAAGCTCCTTTGATTAATAAAATTTATTCAGTTTGTCTAAAAATTTTAAAAGTATTAACTAATTTGATGATTTGAGTATTAAGATCTCAGTTCAGTTTTTCTCCCAAATTTATAATTTTTTTTCCAAAAATATCAATATCATTTGCACATATTAATTAATAAATAAATTCCAATGTCAATGATTAAAGATGGTATTTTTAATAAATCAACACATATTTTTTACAAATAATCAACTTAACTAATTGTCTTAATCCCTATAAATTCATGTTTTAACTTGTATATTAAGCAACGGGGGAATAGTACGTACCAAAACATTGTGTTTCCAAACAACAACGAAGAAGAGTAGGACCAAGAGGGCGATCGTCGTTAGGTTGGAGGTATTCCAATGGAGTTTGAGAATAAAGATAATTTCCCATTTCACGATGACCAATGAGAAGAGCAAGTGTAGCAGGAAGTTCATTGGTTGAGTTTGGAATGCCAAGCAGCTTGGGATTCTTGTCCACTAGGTATTTGGCAACTTCAATGCTTCCAGTGACGGTGGCAATTAAAAGTGGAGTATTGCCAACATCATCAACAGTTTCTAGGGATTCTGGGTTGTCTAACAATTTCAACAATTCCTCCAATATTTTGACATGCCCGAACAAAGCAGCCACATGAAATGGTGTTTTGCCAGAAGCAGTAATTTTCGAGGTTAAGGCACTTGGCTTATTCTCTAACAATGCTTTTGCTCTTTCCCATCTGTTTTTACATATAGCTTTATACAATCTGTTTTCCTCTGCATTCTCCACCTCAACTGTGATTCCTTCTTCTTCCTCGGCCCCATCCGCCGCCTCTGCCGCCCGTCTTTTTTCTTTCTCCTCAAACTCCCTCTTTGCCCTAATCTGTCTTTTTAACTCTCTTCTGATCACGTCCAAATTCTCCACTCCTCTTAATATCATCCTTGTTATTTGCTGTTCCAAATCTTCTCTTTCTTCCTTTGTTGTAGCGAGCGACCGTGCCATCTTCCTTGCTTTTCTTAAAATTTGATCGGCTGCAATATTTTTATGGAGGGTCTAGTGGGGTGGATAAACAGAAAGAGACAATGGATTGTTTAAGCTTAAAAATTAAGCGGTTTTTATAGAAAGCGATATACCATATAAAAATCTTATAGAAGACGCGTAAAATACTATATGAAGATTTTGTAAAAAGCAGACATAATTTTGCATTGGATTACTATCATAACAAGTTATTATTATTTAGTCATTTTAGATTTTAAAATATCTTTAGCCATAAAAAATAATACATTATTTAATTATTTTTAAATTTAATGATATCCCCTGGAAGCTGCTGGTTTTTTTAATATTTAAATATTTTTAAAAGTTTAGGGTCTGTTTGTTCAAGTTTAGAAAAATACTTATGAGATGAGCAGCCATCACTCCATTACATAATTTGAAAATAATACCTTCTTTTAAAAAGAACATACATAAACAAAATCTTGAAAGTATTTTTAAAAAAAAATTACATTTTTTCTTGAAAAATGCTTTAAACAAACAAGATCAACACAGATAATTATGTTAAATTATTTTGATAAAAGAACCAGTACGGATAAAAACAATATACGCGCATTCGTGCAGTCCCTCCATGAAAAACAAAACAAATGAATAAAAATAAAAGAAGAAGATCGTTTCTCTATGGTCAGTTGATGATTATTTACATACACTGGCTATTCACAGCTGAAAAATAAAAGGCTCAATGACATGAAGATTGAGTTTTGTACGGCAAAAAAGTTTTTGCATAGTGACCTGACCTGGCACCCGAGACCGAGCTAGAGGCATGGGCATGTGTACAGGCATTTTGGCTAGTGACTATATATGGTGAGCTTAATCCCTGCATTATTATTTTGTACCCATCAAACCAAAATTGGAACAATTTAAATGAGTCGCACAAATATCACTATATACACACCAAAACATATATGACTCCTATATATATATATATATATATAGGAATCAGATGCACTTACCAACTCGACCTTTGGTCTATTTCAGTGATTAGTCTTCACAAAAACTAAGCATACATTTGAGTTCATCACACCACCAACATATATATGCAAAAAACTCAGTGTTAACTGTAAAATTCTTCAAACTTTATCCTTTTCGTCCATCTATAATCAATCGCTTTACTAATGCCAATTTGAGGGGAAAAAAATACTCAAATATTATATATCCTTCTTGTTTGCTAATTACTCAGACCTCCCCTCTAATTTGTGTGTGTGTGTATATATATATAGAGAGAGAGAGAGAGACCTTTTGGATCTCGAAAGAGGCCATTCCTTACCTAAGAGTTACTATTCACCTTAATAGCTGCTTCTTTCCACTAAGTTGAGAGTTGGATAATGTATATGACATATGAACTGCGGAATAAATAGAATGAATACATAGTGGTATATAGTGAGAGGGTGAGGTATAGCCAAATTTTAGGGAGATTGTAAAGTTGAATATTTAGTTTGTATTCATCCTTACATATATTTTAATTATTTTATAACAAGAAACCATATATACCTGATTGCATTAAAAAAAAAAAGAAAAAATAACAAGAATGAAATGCACTTACCACTTGTTCTTTGATTAGGCCTCCACAGAAGCTATATATTTGCGTGTACAATTGAGTCCATCCCACCAGCAATTTATATTGCATAAATGGAACAAATGTTTGCTTGCGTTAGTTTCCAATGAATCATCAATCACTTCTTTTTTTTAAAAAAAAAAAGCTCTTAAGTAATTTAAAAATATTATTAGCACAGAGATATAAAGTAAGATTCCAACATTTACAATACTATATTTTAAAACATCCACGCTTTCTTTCACCCAAAAAAAAAAAAAAAAACATCCCAGGTTCACGATATACCATGAACAATATATATTAGCTGCATTATCCATAACACACACAAACAGCATGTCTCGACTCAAACTCTACAATACACACACCATATAATATTAAACTGACACACGACACATGGCAGTACAGAGCTTTTTTTCTTCTTTTTTTTTTTTGGCGTTTCATAAGTGACTAGTTTATTTCATCTGAGGGGGGAAAAACTCATTTTGCACCATGTTTCTTATTCCATTCAGCTTGACTATTTCAAATATTTAATCGTTCAAGAACACACAAACATATACAATATTTCTCCTCCTATCAATTATTATTATCGTTGTTGTTGTGTTGATAATAAACCATAATTACTACAAATTCAATTAATGGGGGTTAGGTCTAACGAAGAGTTAGTCAGTGCTTCAAACAGGCCTCCAATAAGAGGATATATACCTTTGCTTAATTAAAAAAAAAGAATTAATACAAATTCAAGCAAGATCGAGCCCTAGTTGGGAGAAAGCTAATACTAACTATATACACATCGATCATCTTTATCTATGACTCATGAGGTGTTATTTAATGGGTGTTAAAGTCCCATACTATTCAACTTAACCGTCGTTTGTGATAAAATTACATTATTATCTGAACCAAAACTGTAACTGTTATATACATATATGCATACGCGCGCGCGTGCGCACACATATATATATAAACACACACACACACACACAAACGAGATGCACTTACCATTCCTTTCTTCGACCTCCACAAAAAGCCCATCTCACCAGCAATGTAATATTGCAGTGACGGAACATGTGTGTGTGTGTAGTAAGCTTGCTTGCGTTTGTTTCCAAGGAATCATCTATCACTTTATTTTTTCCTCCGAATCGCGTGAGAGGTAAGAGGAACTAAAAAGTATCTAACAATTAGAACTTAAAGTAAAATAAGAGAAAGTAGCAGAAAATGTCACACAAAATTAATCTGCCAATGCGAGAGACAAAAAACTTACAGGAAACAGGCAGAAAATGTCACTATGAGAAATCGAGTTTACAAGATCAAATTTCTTAAAAAAGGAAAAGGAAAGAAGAAAAGAAAAAAGAAAAATACCGGTTGGGGGGGGGGGAGAGGAAAAAGTTCTAAATATATATTCCTCCTGAAGTTGTTATAGCTTTCACTTTAGATTTTGTTATTGTCTTTGGAGCAAGCTGTCTCATTTTGTAATGAGGAAATATGAACCCGTTAGGCATATAAATTGAAATTAATTATCTGGTACAATATCAATCATTATTTGAATAGTCAGTAAATATATTTGATAACTGTAATACACAAAAGTAAAATAATTTCATTACTGCTTAATTATTATTTATCATAATATTTTTCGAATGTAAAGGGCTGATTTTTTTATTATTAAAACATTATTTAAAAATTGGAATATACTTTATAACGTTAAAATATTTTCAAATTCGAATAAAAGGCATCTTATTCGACTTTTCTCCTATGGCCAAAAAAAAAAAAAAACTTCGCCATCTCCGGCTATGTGGCCTCGGTTTTCATCTGAGAGTTACACTGAGAAGATTCAGTAGTCGATACTTTCTGGATAAATTCGTTGGAGTATTTGGGTGTCCAGGCGTGTTGTGAGCTCTGAGACGCAACTTTGAACCAGGATTATCATAATGCTCATGATAGGTTTTCTGGGGCTTGTTTGGACGAGGACCTAATCGAGAGTTGTGCCTTCTACTCCAGCAACTGATTTCGACCATTTCAAAACTTGAAGTGGATAGTTCCGTCCTTAATTAATACTCCATCCCTTTTTTATTATAAGTTTCCACTAACCAATTCATACATAACGAATAATTAGTTAAAATTAGTTAAAAATAATAAATTGGTTAAAAATATACTTTTATTTCTAAATATACTCTTATAATAAATAAGAAAAAAGATGAAAAAGAATGTGTAGAAAAATGTGATAAGAAAAATTATAAAAAAAATAATTAAGGACAAAATTGAAAAAAAATACATTAAATGTTAAAACAATTACCAAGTTGAAACTTATAAAATGAAACACACTACTTTTTAAATTTGAAAATTATAAATAAGTTTACGGGACTAACAGGCATGGTGGTCGCGAGTGTGTCATTTGGAACAGAGAGGGAATATGAATTTGTGCTACAGTTGCAAACTTAAAATAGTCCTTCCAGCTGTTGCTGGGATGATAGGAATTATGCATACATGTACTCAACCTGTGCTGGTCTGGTGTAGAAATATAAACCCCTCTTGTTTTTTTTTAAAAATCGTATAGAAGCCATTGATTTGATAACTAGAGGGTGTGATGGTAATTAATCAGCCTTTCAATTCAGCCCCCCCACAAAAGAAAATAATCAGCCTTTCATAGATGTTATTGATAATAGTAGTCTGCTTGTTTGTAACATCCTACTCTATACATCCAGATGAAAGCAAATTTAATAATTATGTTTTAGAGTTGCACTAAAAAAGTGGTATTTTTAAAACTTTTTATCTACTTTGATTCTAAATTTATAACTTTACATTCCTGAGAGCATTAGGATATGAAATGAGAGCCAAATTCAATCTTTAAATACCTGCTAGTAATTTCTATTTATCAAAGCTGTATAGATCTTACCTTTGAAAACTCTGCTTTTTTGTTCCAATTATAATCAATCATGTCTTATAAGCACTAATTCACTCATATCACAAATATATTATTAATATATACAAATATATATTGAACCCCAGCCATATTAAAACTACCCCCAAGTACTCCTCCCTATGTATGTACATACAAATATAATAGTATAATTTACATGATTCATAAATAGGAAGAAAATACAAACACATAAAATATCACGAAAGGGAATATAAACACATAATGTATTAATTTTTCATATTGATTAACTAAATAGCTAAATTCTTCTCTTCTACCTTAGCCGTGCTCTCACCAGCTTCTCTTTCCCTTTGGATCAATTTGGGCCCTATGGTCACATAGAAGATAAGGGTG